GGGGGGCGGGGGGGGGAACCCACCCCAAACCTGCATTTTGTATCATTTCAAATATTGCTCTGTGGACAGGTGACCATCTCGGGACATCTACATGCATTTTTTTGTATCCGTGTTATAAAAGATACTTTCAGTAAAATGGTACCCGCTGTCTGCCCTTGCTGCGTGGGGAAGGGTGGCAACGTTCCTGTTGGAAATGTCAGCGTGCAGGGATTTATAACTGCTGCGAAAGTTTTTTGTGGATTGCTTCTTGCTTCAAAAGAATGAAAGGCAATTTATGTTTGTCGCAGATTAGTCTCAAATGTGTGCTTCCTTTAATTTTTTGTGAATACAGTTGTTGTACAGAACAGAAATACTTCTACAGCTCAATACTCTCAACTATTTTAACAGTATTTTTATTTTTAAGCCAAATTATCTCAAAGTAGAATATGCACTTTAAATACTTCAAATTTTAATGACCTGTACAATTTATTAGAAAATAAAATATAAAAAGGTATTCCTGAATATTTTAATCGCCCATAGCTCCGTTCTCCAAGAATAAGTAAATTAAAATACAAGCCCAGTAATGTGAAGACAAGAGTAGTATGCTTCTGAAGGAAAGACGGCCTTTTTTAAGTGAACATACAGATAGGTATTTGGGTCTTGTTGTCTTCGTATATCATGAATCATACATTTCATTTGAACTGATGCTGCTTTAGAAAAGGCACCTGTGTGTCTCAAATAGAACAAATACCTTATAAAAGGTCAGATTATATTTAGGTTATATAGATCGTGTCGCACTGAACTGCCAGGATTTATGATGCTGAATGAAGTATGCATTTATAAGTTGGCTAACTAGATTATAATATACTTAGTTGATAGGGTGGAAATATTGCTGTATTTCTCTTCAAATATGTATATTAACTTGTTCTCAATGTGATTTATGCAGCGGATATGGAGATTAATGCAGCAGCGTTTGTGAAAGCAGTTATTGTTGATTAATTCATAAGTAGTCTTATAAAAATTTCAATGATAAATGGTAATAAATATGTTGTATCAGCTCCCCTTTATTATAAGAAATGGCTACGAGTTTGGAAAACAAAGTAAATTAAGCCGTGGAAGCAATTGGGGTTTAAAAAATAATGAAGATTTGAACTAAATTCAGAATCGAGACGGTGGGACTCGTCCAGGGGTGCTCTGGGTGTGTGGGGGTGCACCCCAGGCCAGGCTGTGACGGTCCTGCCCGTGCCGGACCCCCGCGGCCGGTCTCAGCCACAGCTCATCACAGCAGTTATAAACTGGAGACGGGCCTGGAGCTGAGCTGGAACCGGAAGGTTGGACTCCAAAAGCTTGGTCTGAACGAAGACTTGAGTTGGGGGTGGCTGTGTCCCCTGCCAAAGCAGCCCGTTCCCCGCGTGCCCTGGTGCCTGTCCGACCGCCGCGGGGACTCGGGGTGCTCTTTCGTGATGCGTGTTAAGGTTGGCTTTGCCCAACACGCTCACAGTGTCCTTTCTGGAGCTTCTCCCGTCTCTGAGGTTTCAGGAGATCACCCTAATTTCAGGTTTTGTAACCTGAACGTGTTTGCACACCCATAGTGTGATCTGCCCTTGCAGGCAGCGGGACAGGGGGACGGGTCCCCCCAACTCTGCCTGCTCCCTGGGCACGCACAGTCTCTCTGTGTCCTGGGCTCCAGCCCGTGAAATAACACAACCTAACGTACTTCCTTGGACTTAACAGACTCTACGTAGTCTCTCTGGGGCGAGGGGTTTCACTGGGACCATTTCATACCGGAGCTTTCTGCCTTAAGCTCTGCTCTGACTCCAGCGGTGCGGTGAGGGTCAGGGTATTTTGGACTGAGCCGACTGAAGATGAGATACGGGCATGACTATATTGGAAAATGAGTTTTTTCTGTTAAAACTTGTTTTTCCTTGTTGAGTGCCAGTGCAACTTTACCGAGCTATGACACGGTCACGTTTTGCCCCCAGGCTGGAGCGGTCGGTAGGCACCTACCCACAGACGAGGTTTGACCTGGGCATTTATATGGCACCGACCTCGAGGGCATGTGAACGTTGTTTGGACCTGCAGGCCAGGGCTGCCTTTACTGACTAACGGTAACAGCTATTTTATGAGAGGCTTTGCAGTCACTTGGTGCAATGTTCTTTGCAAGTGTCAGACGCTGCCGTCACCCAGCGTCGTGCAATGCAGGTGGCTCCTCTGTACAATCACCTCCTCACCCTTAACTTCATCCTAAGGCTTTGCTGTTCTTTTAATCTTTAATGTGAAGCCTTCACCCATTTTAGCTGCTGATGGTTTAATCACATCTGACCTTTTACGTTAAGCGTTTGCCAAGTGATGTGACATTTTCTGCCTTTCTTATCTTGACCAGTAAGAGTCAGGAATGAGCAAGCTGCGCTGGTACGTATGGCTGGAAGTGTCTGTGAAGGAACAGGGTATGGAATGGGAAGTCTTTGGGGGAAAAAGTGAGCAAAGAGGGAAGGGCTTAGGTTGTAGAGGTCATGTTTGAGTGGTGGTTTTACAGGAACTTATATCATCCTGACTTAAGCAAGTCCACCACAGTGGCACTGCGGCAGGGAAGTGGTGTCTGCCCAGGCGTTGCTTTCCAACAGGTAGCACCTGTAACACAAAGCAGTGTATTGAGGATGAAAAGAAAGCTCAGAAATGAAGCCTTCGCGGAGAGCTTATGATGCCGGTCATCTGCGGGCATGGTACGAGTGCTGCTTTGGCTTTCTTGGAGCAGGACTGCGTGCTTCAGCAGAAGGAGGGGTTACTGGGACAGAAGCGGGAGCAGCTCAGAGGAACACAAGTGATGACCCTGCCTTTGAGCCCCCTGCGTGGCCAAGGCAGGCTTTTCGCCTCTGAGAATGAAGATGGGTGCGTGAGCCCAGCAAAGGCCGTCTGCAGGCTTTCTGCATCTCAAGTTACTCTTCTTTGTGGCCAAGCTTTCCAGTGGCACGACTGGATGTAATAAATTGCTCAGCTCATGCATTTCCTCCATCACCAGTGCTTTTTCTTTTGGTATGATTATCATCTAGTAAACGTGCTATCAAGTACGGTCGTTATGGTACAATATATATTCA